GCGCACTTTATTTCTATGCGCGTGAGAGATTCGGTAGATCATGGACTGGTTATCGTCATACCGGGCTGTTATTGATTGCTACCGCCAGAGGGTTACATTGTGTACCTTGAGCGGGGAGTGGTTCCATTTCTTGGGAGACCGGGTTGGTAGTGTTTTGCCACCGGGGTATGATTCGCGAGGGCGAAGTGAGCTTAGTGGTCTACTTGCTAGCTTTGAGAGTGGTGAGTGTGGTGAGACCCAGCCTGTGTTGCCCATCACAATTCAACACAACAATGTCATCCTTCACCGATGACCAAGGACAAAACCTCTTGATGCATGTATTCAGTACACCTAATAAAAGAGACTCAACTCTCAAGCAATCCTTAAACCCAACAACGACACTAGTACGATAGGTAAGGATAAAACCCCCAAATGTGTGTATTCAACACTCATGATACAATAGTTCAATTTTCAAATTTATTTTCTGAGACTCACATAGAGTTAACATTTCATTTACCATTTTCAAGATCAACTTTCATAATTTTTCAAGTCAACATGTTCCATCACTTATTCCAAAAACACTTTTCCCTTTTCACAAAACCAATTACATTCTCTTCATTTTACAAAATCAATTCCATGGATAATAAGCCATAACCCAACTTGATTCAATACATTCATTTCAAAATAACTCCAATACCATAATTAATCCTTTAACTATTAACACCTTCTACACAACTCATATTAACAATAGAAATTTACCAATATTGTTCAACCATAAACCCTTTTTATTTTACCAAATCAAAATATAATTTAGGGCTTTCTCTTCTTCCAACAATAACATGCTAATTTTACTCTCTAATTAGTCCAAACCACAATCAGTGATAACAAAACCATTCTCAAACAATCAACCCTAGGTTCCCCTCATGATTTTCAAATAAATCCAACACGGATATGATTTTCATGCAATACAAAACTACCACATGTCTATCTATAGACGGAGTATTGAAAAGGAACAAAGAAATCCCTACCTCAAATGGAGAGACCAAATGGAGAAGATGAAGGCCAAAAACCAAAGTGCTCCAAATCGCCAAACTTTCAGATTAAAAATGAAGCCCTCAACCCACTCTACCTTTCTTACAAAGGACTTAGTATAGATTTACACTAGAAAGAGATGAAAACCTAGAGAGAAGGTGTGTAGGGAGAGAGAGAAGATGGTTCTAGGGTTTTGAAATCAAAAGGGAGATGAACAAGTGATATTGAAAGGTTTTTATTAAAGCCCATTAATTGGAAAATGAAAGGACAAGTTAGAATTAAATGAACACTAGCTAGCATTAAATGAACACTAACTAGAATTAAATGAACACTAGTTAGAAATATGAATGGACAAGTTTGTCATAAAATCCCACTAATGGAATATGAATGGATCACTAATTCGAATTGAATTAACCATTATGAAAATTTAATAGACACTAGTTGGAATTAAATGGACATCAACCCTTGGTTTCCAAACACAACTAACCTGTTTTAAACCTACCCAACACAACCAAAGACTCATATACAAAGAGTAAAGGATGGAAACAGGAAAAAGACAACAATACATCCACAGCACCGAGTCTGAAATACAATTAAACAATGAAGGGAAAACCGGGATCGCTATACCAAGTAAGAGCCGCAATTCAAATACATACATAGATATAGATTTTGTATACTGAAAATAGTCTCACATTTTCCAACTCCAGAAACGGCAGCGGGGTGATGGGCACCTAAAAACATTTTTCCCTTCGACGTTTGCCGACTTTAGAAATGGCAGGGACGTGGACACCCAAAACCATGTTTTTCAACATTTGCCGACTCCAGAAACATCGGGCTCATGGACACCCAAAAAATTTTTTCCACATTCATCCAGTGATATGCACAGACAGGGCAATTGGACACCTTGACTGCCCGTGCGGATACCAATCACAATACACAACTCAACCTAAACCCAACTCACTACCCGAACTCATAGACTGTTTACTCCCTTTTAACTTTCCACTATTCGCACCATTATTGCATCATAAAAGAAATTTAATAATGCATATGATGCATGAATTTGTAAATTCTCATTTTCCCCTAAATGATTCCAATGCACAACAATTCAGTCATCACCAACTTAAGGTTTATACAGAAAAATATTTCAAATCATACCTTTTGTGGGAGCCGAATATCAGTGGGTGCAGAGAGGGCGAATACACACTTGGAAGCTTAGGATATATACATCTCATTCGGCCTCATCTTGCACCATCCGAAAGCCGAGCATCCTAGTCGGCCATAGAACCAGTTGAGCGAGGAGCCGAATTGGAATTGATTTATGACGGAAGGAGCCGAATGAACAATCACAGGGTGGATTAAAAGTGGGCCACACCCTGAGGCCCAGGAAACAAGTATAAATAGAGGAACAACAACCAAAGAAAGGTATGAGTGATAACCCAAGAAACTAAAACATAAGCTAACGTGAGACATATACTGACTTGTCTGTCGGAGTGCTAATTCTGGCACCCTCAACCAGAGTGTTAATTCCATTTTCAGGTGGCAATCAGAGGATCAGGAACGTCCTTCAGGATCTGAAAGTATTTCCAAAATCACATAACCACAATTAGTGCCGTCTGTGGGAATACTCAAGTGCGTCCACGGCGACCGTAACGGAAGATCCTCCGATAGTCGCTGACAAAACTACACCAAGAGATGATCTCACTCCAAGTAACATGCTGGGACCGAAAAATATCACCGCGCGACATGCCTTGAACTTTGACTCAGTAGCTCAAACCTCACACTTAGCTTCAATGCATGAGACAATGCAGACGATTATGGACTAGACAAAGCAAAATGAACAGCGGCTGGAGAACATGATGGCTGAGAACGAGCGCTTGCGCCAGGATTTGGCCTTGGAGGTGGCAAAATCCCAACAAATCGCGCGCCAAGACCGGGATAGACCTCCGGAAAAGAAGGACGGCCATCGACGTCGACTTAAGAAGCGTAACAATGATAGCGACTCAGACTCACCATCCTCGGAGCCCAGAAAGAAGGGACGTGTTGATGTATCCAGTTCTTTTGAAGGTAATCCATACTTACAGCATAGACAAAGACGAAGTGATGATTCAGATGAGGAAGATAAGCATGACCCCTTCGTGCGACGAATTGCCATGGCTGTGTGCCCAAAAAGTTCAAGGCACCGTCATTCACCCTCTACGACGGGAAATCAGACCCCACCGATCATATTCGTCATTACAAGCAAGCAATGATGCTCCATGCTAACGATGAGGCCCTCATGTGTCGGATATTTCCAAGCAGTCTGGGACCATTGGCCGTGAGGTGGTACTCTAAGCTAGAGCCGGGATCGATTAAGAGCTTCCACCAACTCGAAAAGTCATTCAGGGCGAGGTTCATCACTAATGAAGTCTAGCCAAAGCAAGCCGATTCTCTCTGGGCCATGCAAATTAAACCGAAAGAAACTCTTTGTGGATACTTAGCCTGCTATTTGGAGTGCTTTAACTTGGTAGATGATACTTGCAACAACTCCATGGCCATACCGCCTTTAAGATGGGATTGTATCCTGACAGCCCCTTCCACAGTTTTTTAACCAAACGGCCCCTTAAAACCGTTTGGGCACTAATAAAGAAGGTTGAAGAGTACTGCAAAGTGGAAGATGATGCCTAATGGGTCAAAGCCGGACGGAAGGCTGTTGAGTCGGGCACGGCGGGAATTGTTCAGCCGATTAGTGTCGTGCCATCAAGAAGCCCTGAACGGCGGACTAAACCTAAACGAGACAAAAGGCATGACTCGCGCCGATTGAATGACCAATGTTCACATCGGGCTAATGAATAGTATCAAGTTGATAGCAGGCGGACAAGGCGCTCAGGCAAGAAATACACGGAGCTGACAGAACCGATCAATAAGATTCTGTCAAAAATACAGCACCTTCCGTTCTTCAAGTGGCCGCCCAAGATGACAAGATCCCCTGACTTAAGAAGACAAGATAGATGGCGTGAGTACCACAAAGACCATGGTCACGACATCGATAATTGTTTTTCTTTGAAAGATCACCTGGAAGAAATGGTGCAAGACGACCGTCTTATGCAATATGTTCAAAAGAGCAATTCAACAAACACAGTAGCTCTATGGCAGGAATCACCCCCTCTTGGTGTAATTCATATGATGTACAGCCTGTTGGCTTTACCCGAGGTGCACACAATCCAGTTGCTGTCTAGTACCCATGGCCCAATAACGCCAACGAAACGGCCACACAACACTAGACAGATTAGTTTCGATGACACTGATTTAGTTGGAGTGGTCCATCCCCACACTAATCCCCTTGTCATCGAGCTACGTGTAAACAGATTCACCGTTGAGCATGTTCTTATTGATCAGGGTAGCACTTCGGAGATAATGTATTACCAAACTTTTGTCAAACTTGGTTTTACCGATTCGGACTTATCTACGGCTGATTACCTATTATTCGGCTTCAATGCAAACCCGGAATACCCTTTGGGCAAGATCACACTACCTGTACGGGCAGGAACCAGGTCAGTAGACATTGAATTTCTGGTTGTAAAGCTCCCTTCGCCATATAATCTGATCATGGACCGAACTTGGTTACATGCAATGCAAGCCGTACCAAGTACATACCACCAACTGCTCCATTTTCCGACTGAATATGGTATCAAACAAATTCGCGGCTCCCAAAAATCGGGGCAGGCATGCTATCTTCTACCTACAAAGAAACCGAGGGAACTGGAAGTGCATTCCATTGAAGTACCGGATTGCGAGAGTCTCAAAGATATTGGGAGAATCCCAAGTGACAAAGCAACTGAAGCCCTGCATTGGGTCGATAGTGAGGGAAATCCTGCCAAGTTCTTTATGATCGGTGCTTCCTTGGATAATGTCAAAAAGCAAGAATCGGTAACCTTCTTACTCGGCAATATTGATGTGTTCGCATGGTCTCCATATGAGATGCCAGGAGTAGATCCATCCGTGGCCCAACACAGTTGAAACGTTGATCCGAAATGTAAGCCAATTGTTTAAAGAAGCTGGCGTTCAGCCACAGAGCATACTTCGGCCGTCGTTGAAGAATTGGATAGGTTACTCGAAGCCGGAGCAGTTCGCGAAGTAATTTATCCTACATGGTTCTCCAACACTATGGTCGTCAAAAAGAAGAATGGCTCTTGGCGCGTCTGTGTGGATTTTACGGACTTGAACAAAGCTTATCCCAAGGACTATTTTCCCCTGCCCAGAATAGACCAACTCGTAGATGCAACAGCGCATCATCAACGCATGAGCTTCTTGGATGCCTACAAAGGCTATCATCAAATTGCCATGCATCCGAAGGATCAAAACAAGACCGCATTCCTTACCCCAAATGGAACCTATTGCTACAAGGTCATGCCTTTTGGGCTGAAGAATGTTGGGGCAACTTACCAAAGATTAGTGACCTCCATGTTCAAGGAACAACTCGGCCGTACCATGGCAGTATACATCGACGATATAGTTGTCAAGTCCAAGAAAAAGCACTCCCATTTGGCTGATTTGTCAGAAACATTCGACATTCTGCGACAGTACAAAAGGAAATTGAAAGCTTCTAATTGTGCATTTGGCATCGGCTCCAGAAAATTCCTTGGCTACATCATCAACCACCGCGGAATCGAAGCCAACCCAATGCAGATAATGGCAATTCTAGAGCTTGAATCCCCTCGGTCAGTCAAAGAAGTTCATAAGCTACTGGGGATGGCTGCCACACTTAACAGATTTATTAGCCGTTCCACAGATCGTTTCTGACAATTCTTTCACACACATCGGCAGGGTAAAGCATTTGATTGGACTACCGAGTGCCAGGCTGCTTTGGACGACCTTAAATCTTACCTCCGATCAGTACCACTCTTGGCAACACCTGCCGTCGGTGATCCATTGATTTTGTATATGGCAGTATCCGACCGGGCGGTCAGCGCCGTATTGTTAAAGGAAGAACTAGGAGAACAACGACCATTTTACTATGTAAGCAAAGCTATGGCCGATGCCGAGACACGTTACCTCCCATTAGAAAAGCTCATCCTTGCTCTCGTCATGGCTGCAAGAAAACTGATGCACTACTTTCAGGGGCATACCATTGGGGTGCCAACGAAATATCCCCTCTGTTCCGCACTTCGCAGCGCAGAAACATCTGGACGCGTCTCGAAATGGGCTCTTGAACTCAGTTAGTATGATATCCTGTTTCTGTGCAGAACTTCCATCAAAGGGCAGGTGCTTGTCGATTTTGTTGCCGAAGTCACAGGATCCCTGGCTGACTTTAAGTCTAATCAAGTGCAAACTCAGCCTGACTGGAGAATGTATGTCTGTGACATTTGGCAAATGTATTGCGATGGATCATCCAACCAGTGTAGCAGCAGGGCTGGCATAGTAATCATGACTCCTGAAGGGGCAATCATTGAACAGGCCGTCAAGTTAGGGTTCGACGCATCAAACAATGAGGCCGGATATAAAGCACTGTTGATCGGCTTGCGAAATGCACTTGACCTAGGTGCACGACGTCTGCTTGTTTTCTGTGACTCAAAGGTTGTAATTAACCAGTTGAAAGGGGAATATGTAGCAAAAAATGACCGCATGGCAACCTATATGAAAACGGCAAATTCTTTGCTCATGAAATTTGATCACCACGAACTGAATCAAATAACCCGGGATCAGAACACGCATGCAGATGCCTTGGCTTGCCTAGCCTCGACCATCAACTCAGAAATTAAGTGAACAATTGAAGTAGGGTTTGTCCCCGAGCCGAGCATAGCCTGTTTAGAACCAGTCCAGGTTAACATCATTCAACCGGCTCTGAGTTGAATGGACCCTATCGCCGTATTCCTATCTTCAGAACAGCTCCTGATGGATAAGAAAGAAGCACACAAGCTCCGAAATAAAGCACTCGGATACTATTTGGACCCGCAGGGGAAGCTCTACAAAAAATTTCTCCCTGGGCCGTACTTAGAGTGTGTTCACCCGGATAAAGTCGAAGAACTTTTGTCTGAAATACATGAAGGTAGTTGTGGTGCCCATTCGGGCAGACGTTCTCTGGCTCACCGGGCTGTATTGTAGGGGTACTACTGGCCGACCATGTGAACCGATACCGAGTGCTATGTCAAAAAATGTGGGCAGTGTCAAAAGTTCTCCCCTTTAACACACCTGGCAGCCGAGGAGTTAAATTCCATCACTAGCCCTTGGCCATTTGCCCAATGCGGCCTTGATATCGTTGGACCGTTACCACGGGCCCCGGGCAATAGGCGATTCCTAATTGTCGCGACGGATTATTTCACAAAATGGGTTGAAGCAGAGGCACTAACACATATTTGAGATTCCGACATTAAGTGTTTTGTATGGAAAAATATCATAACGAGATTCGGCATACCACGGGCACTTGTTTCTGATAACGGTGCCCAGTTTGATTGCGGCTTGTATCGAGAATTGTGCGACACTTATGGTATCAGGCCCTACTTTTCCTCGCTGACTTAACCCCAGAGCAATGGTCAAGCGGATGCCACCAACAAGGTTATTTTGGACGGCATCAAGAAAAGGCTGGAGAAAGCTAAAGGTAGATGGGTCAAAGAGTTGCCCAGTGTGTTATGGGCTCATCGCACTACTCAAAGGCGATTGACTAGAGAAACGCTGTTTGCCCTATGCTTTGGAACCCAGGCAATCATCCCCCTAGAAATCGGCCTCCCAACCTTGAAATTGAATGTTTTTGATATGGGTTGAAATGACATGATGTTGGCCTTCGACTTGACTCTAATTGAAGAACGCCGAGACCGTGCCCTTGTGTCCATGGCACGATACCAGCAACAGCTTGCTAAGTTGTATACTCAACATGTTCAATTGCACTGTTATTCGCCAGGAGAATTGATCCTCAAAAAAGTACTTCCCGCTGCTAGGAATCTAACTAACAAAAAATCGGGTCCTAATTAGGACGACCCTTATCAGATTGACTCAATCGTAGGAACAGGGACATACCAGCTTAAGGACATCGATGGAAGAAGCTTGCTACGACCGTGGAATTCAACCCACTTACGTAAATTTTATCATTAAGTCAGCTTGTACGGCACGACAGTTTGTTTCTGATTTTACACCGTGTATCTCTCTCCTTTTTCAATACAATGTTCTCTTGCCTAGTGAGGTGTGGTTGTTTACTTGTGGTTCAAATAAGCCTCCAAATTCGGAGCGCCCTACGCGAATGACGTTTGGGCCGAATAAGTATCCGAATTCGGAGCGCCTCGTGAAAATCGTGATTGGCCAAGACAAATAAGCCTCTGAATTCAGAGCGCCCTACGCGAATGACATTTGGGCCAAATAAGTCTCCGAATTCGGAGCGCCTCTCGTGGAAATCGTGATTGGCCAAGAATAATAAGCCTCCGAATTTGGAGCGCCCTACGTAAATGATGTTTGGGCCGAATAAGTCTCTGAATTTGGAGCGCCTCTCATGGAAATTGGGATTAGCCACTACTAAGAAGCCTCCGAATTCGGAGCACCCTACGTGAATGACATTTGGGCCGAATAAGTCTTCGAATTCGGAGTGCCTCTCGTGGAAATCACGATTGACCACTACTAAGAAGCCTTTGAATTTGGAGTGCCCTACGTGAATGACGTTTGGGCCGAATAAGTCTCCGAATTCGGAGCGCCACTCGTGGAAATCGCGATTGGTGTGTGGGCCAAATGAATCTCCGACTATTGTGGTTCATAATTGTGAATGGTCATAACTAAATTTATAAACAAATTGATTGAAACAACGTGCAAACATTTCAAATAATATGTTCCATTAAATTGATTCAGAATACATCATCCACATCCAATTTGCATTAAAAGGTTACATTGAGCTCAGTTTTATTTGGTACCACCTTCATTGTCACTCTTCTCACCATGATACAATGGCGATGCCGAATCAACACCTGCTGCATGGAGAGCATCCACGGCTTGGAGAGCCTTGATCCACCCGTGCCAAAATCCACGATTCTCGTATCGGCAAACCTCCTCGGCGAGTTCATCCTTAGTTTTCTGTATCCCAACTTTTCGGCCGTCATCAAAGCCTTGTTCATAGGCCCTGGTCTTCGTGCCCTCTATCGTAAACATGTTTTCCATCTGTCTATTGGCAATTGCATGACTTATAAGCCGTTGAGTCACCCTTTTCTCCACGATCGGGTTAGCCCGACCTGCCAACTGCGTCTCGACAGCTTTAACTCTGCTTAATTCACACTCGGCTGGCTCCGTACGAGCTTCCAAAATTTGAATGTGTTTGTCTTTCTTCTCTATTTCCCGTCGCGTGGCATGAAGATGCATGCCGATTTCATATGCGGTGTACAGCCCTTTCATCACCCTATGAACGCCCTCTCGAAACACTTCGAAGTCAGGTCAACCAACCATCAACTGCTGGACTTCTGGCAGAAAAATCTGTCATGCAAATTCAACTACCACGTTTGGTTCTTGGATGATGGAGTCTGCCTTCGTCATCGGTTTGTTCCCAACAAAGATTGAAAAACTCAACGGACGCGGTGGCCCACTGGCCTCACTCCACGAACGAGGAGAGTTCCCCCATTGCCGCTTCTCCCTCCTAGGTGACCTGCTTCATCGACGTGGAGAGTAGGTCCTCTCGCGTTCCCCAGACGTCCTACTTCATGTTTGGGAAGGTTTGCCACCTCGATTCATTGCTGAGTCCAGCTCAGCCAGCGTCCTACCTTCCCCTTTGCTGTTGAAGAACAGTCTACTTGACATTCACACTTTTTCGGCCTCTTTTGATGTACATGGTTGAGTGGAGTTTGGACACACTAATGGAATCTATGCGCATGACGCAACCACTCCTTTTTATTACTCACGGGTGCACCGCACTCCCGAGGCGACCTCATCAATGCATGCATTCCATAAGTCACCAATATTCGACGTCCCAATTCATTCCAAACTGGGGCAAGGGCAGATTCATTAATCTTAACGGCCAAGGGTTCGCTAATCTAATCGGCTAAATCCCAAGG